TAACTATAAAATCATAGAAAAATATAGGTTGCAAGGGACTTCTGGAGGTCATTTGTTCCATACTTGCATTGCTGCAGTTTCAGCATCGTGAGAACACACAAATCAGGTTTCTTTTGTGAGGCAGAGCATATTTTTTTACAAAGTTGATGACTATTATTGCTTTTAAAGGTAAGCTGGCTGTTGATTGATACTGACTTCCAGCAGGCTGTGCTGTTATATTTAGCCATGCCTTGATTTTTTAATTTCAGTGATGTCTCTCCAGTATTAGATATTCTCCAAAACTGTGAAGGAGCAAGTGCTCTTCCCTGGGAGGATTACAGGGCTATGTGGGCTATATGAAGGAAATCRTCATTAATTTTATGTGATAATTGTCATTCTTTCTCACCCTAACAGATCACATTTTACACTSTTTGATTTTAGAGGCTGGGTTTGAGCCTTCTGCTGTGAGAGGTAGTGTCTTGCTTGCAGTTGTAGATAAAAGAAAGGGAATAGCCTTTCGATTCCAGACTCTGCACTGTAATTCTGCTCTTCTCCACTGACAGAGTTTTTCTTCTCTCACAACAAACCCGCTGCTGTCTCAGCCTGTTTACAGTCTTAGGCTGGCACAATCACCACTGTAATGAGCTTACGTGGGGAAAGTAGAAGTGAGAGGAAAGTCTCTAGACCTGTTTGGCCAATCTGTCCACCTCTGTTTCTCCTCGAGAGGAAGGTGATCTTGTCTAGGACAGTCTGTCGGGAATTCATAAAGCAACAGAAATGTTTTCTTGGCTTTTCAAATTGCTGCAGTTCAGGGCCTGTCTTACTCCTTTGGAACTGCTGTGGGGTCGCTGAAGCCAAGTTGAGGTGGGTCAGTGGGAACAAACAGGTTCATGTGGTGTTGAACGAGGTTTGCTGGGTTCACTCACTGTCTCTGGATGAACTTGGATCTACCTGCCAGTGTACTGCTCACACTGAGGGCAAGGCACACTGTTAGCAGCTTCCACAGGGAAGCCAGTGTCAAGTGGTGCTTGTGTTCTTGGGTGCATTATTTATACTCCAAACCTTATCCACAAAGGTCATCACTTGGATAGCACTTGCAAGTTCCTTGGGACACCAGTCTTCTGGGAAGCTCTTGGCTTTCAGTTCACTGGGAGGCTGTAGAATTGCTGCATCATACTGATGCAACTTCGTAGGTTTAAAGTTCTGAGTGAGTAACTGAGAGAATTCAGTGCCAAAAACATCTCCATTTAAAAGGAGACCAAAAAAAAAAGCCAGTATCTCAGTTATTCTTGACTAAAAAAAAATACTGCACGTTTTACTAAAGGCGAAGTAGGTGCGTTTCTCAGAAATTAATCTGCATGGATTTCTTAGCCGTGTTTTGTTGCAACTTGCTGTAAGTGCATGCATCTGGAAAGACAGTGTAGGAAATTCCTGTGCTGATTAGAGTAGGTACTGGAAGTATGGGCTTCACAAAATACTAAATTCTCTATGGGGGCATGGGTTGCCCTTAGAATTAGAGTGCGTAGTAAGGATGATAACGTATCTTTTTAAAATGAGGTGGTTTGTAACTGGTTTAGATTAAAATGTTTTAAAAATCAGGTTCAAAGTGACCATTTGAGAGGCTTTTTACCCTTTTCTTGAACTTTAGGCACGAAACATCTTAAGCTTGCCAAGCTGTTTAGACAACAGGCTACTGTTAGAAGGATTCAAATGTTTAAGAACTGATCTTTTTTTAATTWGTAGGCCTTCCAATTAAAAAATTCCTATATGGTGGCAGCACAATTGTTTTTGTCTCTGGGCTGGGGCTTTGGGCACTCCTGTGGAGTTGTCTGTCAGCACGACAGGAGCTGTGTTTGGCTCTGTTCTTGTGCAGGATGAGCAGGGTCCTGTGGGTTCCTCTTGTTAAGGCTGCTGTGTAAGAAATTAGCTAATTATCAGTTTGATAATACTCCCARCGGTGGTTTTGAGAACAGGCCTATGTGGAAAAGCCAGCAGTGAAACTTTGGCGTGGTGCTCCTTTGCTGTAGCTGCCGTGTTGAACCCTGTTGGGTGGTACCTGTCCAAGAGGTGTCATCCCAGATGCTGAATGAGAAATCCTACTCTGTGTCCTTGCACAGGCAAGCCTTGGCAGTGAACAGCATGTCAGGCTGTAGTTAGGAGCTTTCTCTTCCYCTCTCTGACCTCTGGTATGTTGCCTAAAAGCTCATGGTTATTTCCTGGTTAAACACTTCTCTACCAGGGAAATCAAAATTTCAGTGTTGTCTTTGGAGATGCTCAAGGCTACACTGGACCATGATCTCACCACATTTACTTTGATTACTTGATGTTTAGCAGACTCTYCCAATATAAATTATTCTATGATTCTGTCATTAATGCTGGAATTAATAAGTGACAATATTCTGTTTAGATTCTGCAGAAATAGAGCTCATCTTTTATAACAAGCTCAGGGCACTTCTCTAGGTGCAATTGCTGCTCCTACTGTAGGTTCTCCTGCCTTAAAAGTGCAAGCTCAACTGACGTTTGCATGTCAACACCTGTCCCCATTATCTGTCCTTATTTGTGTCTTCCTTTCTGCCAAAGAGCTTGGATCCACTGTAAAATATTCCTCCTCCAGGGGCAGTGAAAGCAAAATCTATACAAATTCCTTGGCAGTTTTGAGCAGAGTGAGTGAGCAGCTTTCAGGAAGGGTAAGTTTGTGTATGTCTATAAGTTTGTTTGCTTTAAAATTAAGTTATCTGTGCAGACTCTCTCCCCTTCCTGTGAAAGGAACAGCAGACAATAATACCTGCCTTCGTAAACAGACATTGTGTGCCATTCTTAGAAGCTACAGTTGATGATTTCCTGAAAAAGCCRTTCTCTGAGCAGCCTGTTACAATGTGCTGCTTGAGCTAGGCTAGTGACAAAAAATAGCCACTGTGAAATTTGATCTATCTTTAGATAATGTGATTGATTTATTTTTTTCTTTTTTTTTTTGTGCTGAAACTGATCTTGCTAAGCTGGGTGAGGGGAGCAGTCACGTGTGCTTTATTGATACTGGATTGTGCTTAAAATTAAAATTGCTAAGTCATCTGAGGCATGTATAGGTTCAGTTAATTCCTTCACAAGGAGTATTGGGCAGGGGAAATGGGCCAGTGCGTCTCCTGCCAGAAGCACATGGAATGAGGAGAAACAAAAACACAGTGATTGAACTTCAAAATCTAATAAATTTCAGTGTACTAAACTGTTCTAGTAAGGTTGCATGCTCTGGTAATGCCTGGGGACATCTAATTTCTAAGTGTCTGAGTCATGCCACATAAATGCTTTGAGGTCTTAAATGATTGCTGCCTCATCTTCTGAAATTGTATTTTGTGAGAGGACTAGCATTTTGTCCAGGAATGGATTTACTATATTTTTAGGAATGCTTCATATTCTTCCATTAACTGGACACATGGCTGAAGTGCTTCATCCTGCTTTTATTAGTCAAAGGCCTCAGTCACCCTTCCATTGTAGACTTTGGGATAGTGCTGTGTCCCTGTTCAACCTTGGGACTGGATTACTGCAACCCTGTCTACCTGAAGGTGCCATTAACACCGCGTGTGTGTCAGTAGGTCAAAAAATAACCCAGTGCTCCATTCTGTCCCACCTAAGGAGACTTTGTCCATGACAGAGTCTTTGCATGCACTTCTGCCTCTGGATGCAGGACCAACTGCTGATCAGGTTGTGTGACCCAGTGAAGGACATCAGATCTGTGTCCTCCAGATCTACCACCATCTTCACAGCCAGTGGCTCTTGCTGGGTCCTCACAGCAGCTGAAGTGCTGGAGACCTCAAATAAACACCAGGACTCTGCCCATAGAAGAGGATTTTGCTTATAGAGTTTTCTGGTGTGATGTGTCCTAATAGCTTAAGCTAACTGCTCTGAGCAGATTTCTAGGTCTTCCTCATTAATGTGTGATTATTYGCGCTGTTACTTCCTCCTGCAGTCTGGCAGTTGCCCATTTTCTGTGAAGGGATAAGATTGGCATAGGAAATAAATTAATTTAGGTAATAGTGTTGCCCACTGTTTGGACACATACACAGGGCTGTATGGCCATACCATGTGCTACACACCAAACAATACTTTTCCATGCTCCAGTACAGCTCCCTTCCTTGTAAGTTCTTTTGAAAGCTGACAAGAGGATTCTTGTGTTTAAACACCTGAAAAGGTGTTAACTTTGCCTTATGAAAGTTTGGAGAGATGCAAAGGCACCACGTTTATTTTAGGTACGATAATAGTGATATAAAACTGTAGTGAGCTACTGCTGTCTTAAATATTCAGACATAGATGATCAAATATTCATATAATAAAAATACAGAATATTTGACTCTGATACACAGTGACTTTGTTTTGAGGGATTTTGGCTTGTCTCAATACTGATAAAACTTGGCGTAAGATTTTCAAAGATCAGGTTGTAAGGAGGAAGGATTGGAATTACTTACCCAATGCTTTGGGCAACCAGAATGCAAAGGAACATCTTCAGATTCTTGCAGCAGTGCATTTCTTTTATGTTTGGATAAAGCACCATAATCCAACACAGATTCTTCCGTCTTTTGGACAGTCAGATTTAATGTCTTGACGGTAGGAAGTTGTGAGTAAAGCTGGTTCCCATCCCAGCAGAATTGATTTGGTTACATGGGATGGCACCGGACTTGTGATGGAGGTGAAATTGCAGCCTATGGCTGTTGCTTTCACTCTGGAGTCAAATGGTGGGAATCTGTCTGCAGACACAGAGCACATGGCATTTCTTTCTTTTTGAAAAGTTATCTCTGCAGCCAGCAGTTGGAAACAAGGTGCTGAAAGTTGCAAGGTCAGCGGGTTGGTTTGTTAGGGGGCCAGTCCTGTGTGAGGGAGAGCAGACAAATGGCTTTCAAGCTCTGACAAGTGATCCCAGGCCTGTGGCTGGGCAGGCTCCAGCCTTTCYTTTGCAGCAGCTTTTAATGATTAACTTAAATACTTTTGAAGTACCTTGAGAATTTAACCTCTGGTTTATATTCTGTCTGCAGGTGGAGGAATCTGAGGCCTTTCTCCTCTGTCAGCATTGCACAGACCAGGTCGCCTCTGATTTCACATCTCATTTCCGCCTGCCAAGCTGTCTGATATGTCGGGACCGGTGCCGAGCAGGGCCAGAGTTTACACGGATGTGAACACACACAGACCCCGAGAGTACTGGGACTATGAGTCGCATGTTGTGGAGTGGGGGTAAGTCTCTGGGCTGCTTCTGGATATCCTTGCACTGGGTTCAATCCTTGTGGATCCTATGTAGTGGTACTTGGGGAGTTCAGGCATCTGTGCTGCGTCTTTGTCATGCTTCTTGGCAGATGTCAAGTGAAAGGATCACAACTTCCCTTTGTGTTTTGTATAAAAGCGTTTTATAAAAAACCTTTAAATCCCCAGTTGTGGAGGAATGTTTGTAGCAGGTTCCTTAAAAGTTTGAAGAATTTTTGCCAGGTAGTCAGGAAACATCCCCTTTCAGAGGGAAGAAAATCTTTTTCTGCAACAATCCAAGCAGTCCTGAGTGCAGGGCTGAAAAGAAGTGAAAAGTCTTTCAAACTGGAGTTATTGCTGACTTGGATGAGTAAAGAGCCTCCACAGACTTAAATAGGTACATACTATTTTGTGACTTGTTGCTCAGCTCTCTGTGAGWGCCTGGAAAAGACATGGCGGCTTCTCTTTGAAGGAAGGAGGTCTAAATTGAGCTCATGACTAAAGTGTCCCAGAATCAGRCAGCAGTGGTGGCAGCTTCATAGCTCTGCATTCCTGCTGGGGTATGGAGGGCTCAGACAGTGTTCTGCCCTCAGCTGTGCAGTTCCCAGTTTCTGGAATGTACACAGTCTGAGCATAAGTACTACTTTGTGCCAAGACTGTTTTTAAACAGGCTTGTGCTTAGATTTTTGATCTTACCGACTTTGTTGAATTTTACACCAGCAGTATACATGGAAACATGGAGCTTCCAAATATCGAGAGAAAGGATAGTTCAAGTTGGCTAATGCTGAAATACATAGTCAGGCTTTCAATCCATAGTTAMGGATTGAATCTGTCTTGGGCAAATAGAAGCTCCCTGTTTCTTTCCTAATTCTTAAATTATCCCATTCAGGAGAGGTAAGGCAATAGGTGATCCCCTTTGTCTGGGAAGTGAGGCGCTGATTGAGTGTTAAGGAGCTTTGTAAATTGTGGTGGAAATGACTGAGCCCTTTGGAACTCTAACCTTTTCTCTCCACAGAAATCAAGATGACTACCAGCTAGTTCGAAAATTAGGCCGGGGCAAATACAGTGAAGTATTTGAAGCCATCAACATTACAAATAATGAAAAAGTAGTTGTTAAAATTCTCAAGGTGAGCTGGGGATTGGGCAAAAGATAAAATCTTTCGTGAGGCCGGAAAGGCTGTTTGATRTTTTAAAACTGAAATCCTTAAAGCCTGGCTTTGGAGTGTCACTCAGTGAAACAGGCCAGCATTTTGAGCCTCCTGATATAAGCCCTGCACTTGGTTATTAAGTCAGATTTCTGCCTATAAGGAATTAGGCTCTGTCTTAAAGAAGCCCTGATGTGCAACAGCATTTTATTTGGAGCTAAGCAACACTTCAACAACTGACTACAAACTTCTCAGCTTCTTCAAGTGCCAGCATCCTGGCAGAATGTCATGGGCATGGCCTTCATTTAATGACCCTCAGGTAGCCCATGGACATCTCATAGTTAAACATTTGCCACATGCCAGTTAAGAAGTCTTGAGAGTATCACAAAATCACAGAACTGTTGCGGTTGGAAAAACACTTTGAGATCAAGTGCAGCCAGCACCCCAGGTGCCACATCTACATCTTTTAAATCAATTTGAGGATGGTGTCTTCACCACTGGAGCAGCTTGTTTCAGGGCTTGACAACCCATTCTGTAAAGAAATTTTTTCCTGATACCCAACCYATACCTCCCGTGGCATGACTTGAGRACATTTCCTGTTGTCCTATCAGATCATGTTCAGAAAGCTTCTAACAAAAAAKGCMATCTTTCTGCCTCTCMTTCACATGGAWTTATTGTCTGTAGCTGTCAGGGTTGTATGGTTGAAAGGAGACAGCAGATACTTGAGCCCTTATAGGTGTGATGCATACTCAGGTTAAGTTGCAAAGGCTCTGATGTATTTTGCTGATCTGCAGTCACCCGRGTGTTGTCATCTGGGTGTTGAGTTATTAGCCTCACTTTACTGCAGTGCTTTATCTTACACTTTGGGTTTTTATTCTTCAGCCTGTTAAAAAGAAGAAAATCAAGCGTGAAATCAAGATCTTAGAGAACTTGCGAGGCGGTCCCAATATAATCACCCTTGCAGATATAGTAAAAGATCCTGTGGTGAGTATGGGAGGAACTCAGAGGGTACATAGGGGTTGTGGGTGAAGTTTCTCCATTTGATTTCAGCTCTGACCTGGCTTTTTGTTTTCCCCTGCTCTTAAATCCTGCTTTTGAATTGACTAATCAGATCAGCTCTTAATCTGATAAACTTCTTTTAGAGGGCCCTTCCCCCACAGGTCCCTCCAGCCCCTCACTCTGTGAGGAAGAGATACCAGTGAGCTGAGACAAGTTAATGCGCTCTGCAAACAGTGCTGCCAGGGGCTGTGGGCTTTGGCTGTGCTCTCTCTGAGTGGAATCATAAGTACATTCAAGGCAGAGGGGTTTTGTGCAGTTTTAGGAGAAAAAATTATTTAATTCATTATCCTTAGTGGAAACGTATCTCATCATGACTGAATGCTTTTCTTTCTGTTTCAGTCTCGAACACCTGCTTTGGTTTTTGAACATGTAAACAACACAGACTTTAAGGTACAGTGTGGGCTGTGACTTCTCTTTTTCTGTTWGAAAGCTACTTGTACTGTTTTTCTGGGGAAAGGATAGTATGTAGGGCAGGCAGATTGTTGAATCTTTTTTTTTTTCTAGCATAGGAGATGCCTTTAAAAGTAAATACAGTTGGGACGGAAGCTTGTAATTAGTCCATCAGTACAATTTTTCCACAAAAGTTAATGGGATGAGAATCCAGATTCCAAGTAGTAGCAAATGAATCTGTTACCCTGTGGCCCACCACTGCCTGTCTTTTTGAGGCATTTTGCATTTATGTGTACAACTATTTATTGAAACCACTTTAAATGTAGACAACTGTTTCTATGACCTTTCCTACTTCTGGGAATAGGGATTTAAGTGTTTCTTTGTTCCCTTCCTACTGAGTGCCTCAGGAGAAGAAGGGCTATGCATTGCCATCCAYCCTGCTGATGGTGGGTGGGTACAGCCAGAGGGAGATAGTGACCAGAACCAGGATGTGCTGTCTGAGCAGAGCTGGAAGTAAACTGTGTATGGGATTTGTAAAGGGAGAGGAGCAGACCGATCAGAGTAACTTGGGAAACTTGGGACTATTCCTTCACATGGGTTTGGAGAATGACAGCAGAATAGGGCTGAGTGTTTTGGATTGGCAGGGATGTGATGGATTTTTGGATGTTGAACACCGACATGATGTGTTTGTGTCCCACAGCAATTATACCAGACATTAACAGATTATGATATTCGATTCTACATGTATGAGATTTTGAAGGTAAGTTGGTGTTTCACTGTTTTGKTGGTTTATTTCTAGTATTTGCTCTCAGCTAATCCTGTAGAGRTGGTTTTCATGTCACTGATGATAGTGGCATCGTATCACTGAGGGAAGGAAAGAGAGTGCCTATGGAAGAATTGGGCTAAAAAAGGCCAAATCAGTATTGATTTTTCAGCCATGTTTCTGCAATAAGTTCTAGTCCTTGGTTTGTTTTCTTTTGTGGCTAACAGAGCCTTTCGATGCATTGAGATAGCTTTACATCCTATATCAGTGGTACATGTGGTCTCTAAAAACAGAAAACTGAGCTGTTTCTGGCTGGATTAATGCTCTAATGTAATCTGAGTCAAACGTCTTTGTCCATTCTTCTGAACCAATTAATTTCTCCTTAGTGTGGAGATGGGGGGATCATATAGTGCCTAGTGACTGTGCTCTTAGGGACTCTGAAATTTCAGTTTTTATGAGGAAACACATAGTGAAATTAAGATATTTGTGTTGCTGAACCCTCCCTTTGAGAGGGGGCTTCAGAATCTAACACTGGACAGTCTTGTCATCCAGTTAGAATTGATATATGTGGAGTACTGCTGGATATGGTTGAACTTGAGAGGTTCTTGTGACTCCAGCATCTGTTTTTCTTTCACCTGCAGGCTCTAGATTACTGCCATAGCATGGGAATCATGCACAGAGATGTCAAACCTCACAATGTCATGATTGACCATGAGCACAGAAAGGTAGTTTGGGATGGCTGGGGGGCAGGGAGGGGTCTTGCTTTTCTCTTGGCATACTGGGATCCGTTTTGGGTACTCCTGTGTAGTGGTATCCAGTAGACCTCTTTGAGGGGGACTCTGCTTTCATGGTGTGGAAAAATGTAAAATGAGGTTGTTATATTCTGCATTTTGAGGCTTTAATGGGTCACATGTAACCCACGGGCAGGGTTGTRATGAGAGGTATTTTATTTAGGCTGGTTGGTGATAGGGGCTTGGGGAGCATATGTAACCAGATACTCTGATCAAATTAATTGAAAATGGAAGACATGTAAATTAACTTCAAACTAAGCTCACCAGTGTTCTTCAGCCAGTGGAATGTTGCAACATCCCTTGAGCCTTTTTTTCTTTGTTTTCTACCATTTCTAGCTTAGACTAATAGACTGGGGTTTGGCTGAATTCTATCACCCTGGCCAAGAGTACAATGTCAGAGTGGCTTCCAGATATTTCAAAGGACCTGAGCTTCTTGTAGATTATCAGGTAAGAATTAGCAGGACTTCTTACTGACTTTTATATGGAAACTCAGTGCCATTTCAAGGTAATAAACCCAAAATTCAGATGTCTAGAGAGTTGAAGCTAAAGACAGTCTGTTCCAAAATGTATGGCAGAAAGCAGTGGCTATARAGCCACTGAATGAAAGAAACTAATGAGTAGTTTCAGAACCTGAGGAAGAGCTGCAGAACTATCATCATGGATMTTGGAATACAAATGTTGAATGTTTTTTTAGCCAGGCTGTGTTTGCAGTAAGGTACAGGAATGAAACAAAGCCCCTGTAGGAACAGCGAGTACTGCATGAACTTCTAAATTAAGCTATAAAAGCATCCCTGTATCTGATGGCACTTTGCATTATGGAAATCACAGTGTTCCTGGTGACTTTCAGACCATGCTGGTTCTGGAAAAAGGCACATCCTTACCTGCCCATGGACCCTGGGGAGTCCACACCTTTTGTTGCTTGTTGCAATGCTTCCTTTCCCAATACACATTTCTCAGTGATGTATAACACTGGGAGTCTGCAGTGAAAATAGAAGAAAGCTCTGATCTTTAATATCCTGGCAGAGAGGGATGGAACTAGGATACCTGCTGTCCTGCTAATTGCTGTCTCCCARTTTGAGTAACTGGAACACTGAGCTGAACAGTGATTTAGGGATGAAGCTACATGAAAATAGTTCAGTTGGGTTCCAGCATAACATGGCKGTGTTCATGTCACTGGAGGGAGGGGGTGGACCCTGTTAGTTTTGGAAGTCTGTTCTGCTTAATTCATTAGAAATTGAATTGTCCTTCTGGTTTTGTACAGATGTATGATTACAGTCTGGATATGTGGAGCTTGGGTTGCATGTTGGCTAGTATGATATTCCGAAAGGAGCCTTTTTTCCATGGCCATGACAACTATGATCAGGTGAGAGCTGGTCATGTACAATGTCTGTTCTCTTAGCACCATGAAGGTTTCCTGCTTAGGCTTCTATCAAGTCATCCAGAGAATTTTTAAGCCTTTCTCTAATGGCTTCTTTGCTCAGTTTGAAGCCACATTCCTTTTCTCAAGTGTGCAAGATTATGTAACCAATTAAATAGAAATGGATTTATAGAGCTTTGTTCTTAGGAGCTCCTCAGTAGGTGTCTGGGAAAAGCTGTAGCAAGTTATATTAAGGCTGGTGTGTTCTGGTACATAGTTTGACTATTCCTGAGATTATGTTATGTGGAAAGCCCCTACCSCTATTCAGTCTCCCTCCACTCTGTATAGAAGCCGTGAATTTGGTACAGGTTTATATAGATTCTGAAATCTTTGATGTGTTGCCTTTAGGCCAAAATTTTTATATTTAAACCTTTATCATATGYTCAACATGTGACTGCCATGCAAATATTCTGGAACAGGGACCTTTTATTCTCAAATCTTCATTCTGGAGCTCTCTGGGGTGGTGTTTCACCTTTCACATGCAAGATCCAGAGTTTCTGCTTTTTTGACCAGTTATTCTTGCCTTCCCCTCTGTTGGTTTTGAATATTTTCTTTCTGCTAAGGGAGTTAATGTTGGAAGGAGTCAACGTTAAGAGATTTTCAGGTCTGTGGGTCCCTCCTGGCTGCCTTGGGGTACTGGGCTCTGGCTGTGAGTAGAGGCATGTTCCTGATGCCTGGGAATGTGTGGCTGGGGAAGCCAGAGCCACAGGATGACCCTGTGGCTTCTGATTGACGCTGCTGAGACCATGTTCAAGCTCCCAAGGGAATGTGCTGCTGTATCTTCATGCGGGCTCTTGTATTATCATGCCTTCACAGCAGTGACTGTTTTTGTGTTTGTTCCCAGCTGGTGAGGATAGCCAAGGTGCTGGGGACAGAAGATCTGTATGACTACATTGACAAATACAACATTGAGCTGGATCCACGTTTCAATGACATCTTGGGCAGGTAAGCCAAGATCTGGAGTCTCTTTGGTAGACCCAGACAGCTGCAGCTTTGTCATCAGASCTTGAAATGAACAAACACTTGTGGGAGAAATCAGAGCCAGAATTCTGGAGAGCTGTCACTTTGTGCCTTCGGTCCCTTTTGCCAATGCTTTCCATACTCCTTTRTATGGAAATGGACCTGAGGAAAGGTTTTTAAATGTCATTCAGGCAATAGAGGAACTACTGGAGCAGAAAGCATGAAGGGCAAATGCTCTCAGTCTGGGGGAAAAAAAAACCCAAATTGTGTTTCTCAGCATTACAGTGCAGAAAGTCAGGTGCTGCTTACAATGACATTTATATGGGTTTTTCCACTATTTTGTGTGATCCTAAAACTAAAGGAACTAATGTTGGGGCCATAAGAGCAGTACCTGGAATTTTAGTCCTGTAATCCATTCTGAACATTAGTCCTGCTGCTTTCAGGGTCGTACCAGGGTGACTGTGGTGGCTGAGGTGGCCGTGCTGGGGCTGTGATGGCTGTGCCACCACGTGGAGACACGGTGACACTGCTTCATGTTCTGGAATGTCTCAGCCCCACAGCTGCCGCACAGAGCAGCGGCCTCTCCTCAGGGCTGGACATTCTTGCTCCTTAAAAAAATGAGTTTTRGCACTGCTGTCCCCTGCCTGGCCTAATTTGGGTCTCTTTTCCCGCAGACACTCCCGTAAGCGATGGGAGCGCTTTGTCCACAGTGAGAATCAACATCTGGTGAGTCCAGAAGCCCTGGATTTCTTAGACAAGCTGTTGCGATATGATCACCAGTCACGACTCACAGCAAGAGAAGCCATGGAACACCCCTACTTCTGTAAGTATCAGCTGCTGTCCTCAGAGTTCTGTCTCTGGGAAATCTCTGTTGCCATGGGTTTTGTAGATGGGAACTGAGCATGGCAACAATGATAAGCCTGGTCTCTGCAAATAATTGCACCAAATCAGCAGATGATATCAAGAAAAGTCACCTAAATGATGTGATTTTGGGTTGCTTTCAGCAAGTATGCATGGGTTCCTGTGTTTGGATAAACCCAGAGAATTCTGGTTTGTTGATGAACRGGCCTTTTACTTCCTTTTATTGCTAAATTGCTTAGCTGCTGGTATATTCAGATCTTGGTTCTGCAAGTGAAAATGTAACTTTCACTAGTAAATGTTTTTAAATGGTTGCTGTTTTTCACAGATACTGATATTTAGGGGTTTGAAGCAGCTGCAAAATACATAATGTCAATATTTGCTCAGGTGGTTTGTTCCAATTTTTTTTTTGCTTTTGTTGCTCCTGCTGAAGGGACCCCTTTAATTAACAAACTGTTCATCTGTGCTACACCTGTTGGAAATATCCCAGGGAAATGTTTTGCAGTTATGAGTGTTAGAGAAGCCAAAAGTTGGGAATGTGAGAGCTGGACAAACAGTTAATTAACTTGTGTCCACAAAAAGATAYGGGTTGTGCTGAGCTCACCATGAGGAAAGGCAATGTTTGGAATTCCCTTGTCTGACATACAAGGCCTGGGAGACAGGAAAGGGTTGTCCCTGTTCAGGTGAGAACATTATTTACATGCAGCTGGAAATAAAGAGTTAGTGAGTAAGCTGGGATAATGGAAAACAACAAGTTCCAGTGACACTCCTGACAGCTCAGAGGCTGCTGTGAGATGTGGAGAAAGAYGTGGCACATGATTGTTATTAGTGATAATCTTTCTCCTTGCTACGCCCATATTCTGGGTTTGGCTTTCTGCAATTACGCAGTTGTTTAGAACAGAAAGATCAACTTTGCCATATCCTTCAGCTTTTCCTGTCAGACAGTCATGCTGAACCCCAAATCACATCATTTAGCTGGCTTTCCCCAATATCACATGGTACCTTCTGGAGTGCTTCCCACTGGAGCTGGTGGAAATGCCTGTGTTTCAATAATGATGGTTGATGTTATTTGACACAGGCAGAGTGCCAGGACTGGCTGGGCACAGAGGCCAGCCTGGCCTCAGTCTGTGCCTCAGCAGCTCTCTGGCAACACAGCACTTACAGGTAGTGTGTTCTTCCTAGATCCCATTGTGAAAGACCAGGCTCGGATGGGCTCATCCAACCTGCCGGGTGGCAGCACTCCTGTCAGCAGTGCGAGCATGATGTCAGGTCAGTTCTACCAATTCTTCTTGGTGCTTGGTGTGCTAGAGCATTTGTACATGTGGGGTRGGTGAGAGGGTCCAGGAGGGAGAGTTGAGCAGGTGGGACGTTGGGCCATCTCCCAGGACTGGGGGACAAGGGCAAGGAGAGCTGCGAAGTGGGTGGAGAGCTTGAGTAATAAGGCCTTGGGCAGCCTGACCTGTTTTTCTGGTCTCATTTTAAAAGTGCATTGCAGTTGATTTTCTGGCAGCAGTTTGAAGTGAGTACTGTCCGCTGGCATAGGTTGCCCAATCCCTGGAATTGTTAAAGGCCCAGGTTGGACAGGGCTTGGGGCAGTCTGGTCTAGTGGAAAGTGTCCCTGCGCATGGCAGGGTGGTTGGARCAWGAGGAGCTTTAAGGTCCCTGCCAACCCAAACCATTCTGTGATCCTGCCAATCTTTGCCCCTCAATGACACTCAGGCGTGTGGCAAATCTGTGCCCTTCCCAGCGCTGCAGACAACAGTGACAGATCTTTAATCTCAGCTTATTTTGGCAGCTCTGAAAACATAACTGACCCGCAAAGCTACCACTTGACTTCAGAAGCTGAGCTGTCCTGAATAGCGGTGCTCTGTTTTCACTCTAGTTCCTTTTTACCCATCTCTTCCAGGGATTTCTTCAGTGCCAACACCTTCACCCCTTGGACCTCTAGCAGGCTCACCCGTCATCTCTGCCACCACCACCCTGGGGATGCCGGTTCCAGCTGCTGCAGGCGCCCAGCAGTAGTGATGGGCTCTGTCTCCTGCTGCCTGAGCTGAGTCAGGTGGGGAAGAGGTTTCCCCCTCCACCTCTCCTCAGGACGCAGCTCATGTCTGGCAGGGGAAGGGAGGGGATGAACGCTTTGGAGACACCGTGTCTGAACTGTTGCTTGTGGATTTATAGTAGTTCAGTCATTATATACAAAATTATTATAGGCTGATTTTTCTTTTTTTACTTGAACTTTTCGTAACTCAGGGGATTCCCTGAAAATACCTACAGATGGAATACTTCTTGGACAGTTTTTCTTTCTCCCCCCCCCACCCCTCCCAAAAAAAGAAAAAACAAAGAAAAAAAAAAAACTAACTCTTCATGTAATAACAAAGATGAATCAACAGCATTTCCAAGCTCTTGCATCCTGCTGGAAATCTCTTCTCTTCATGTTCCCACCATTATTCCTCCATGAGCCTACACCTTGGGGAATTGTGCTGTTCTCCAGAGACTACCAAACCAAGTCTTCATGAGGCAGGGGAGGGGATCTTAAAGTACCACACTGGAACCCCATGTCCTGCATATGTCCCRGCCAGGGTACACTGAGGAGACAATTCCAGTAGGGAGAGGTGGGATAAGCTTAAAAGGAGTAAGTGCAGATAGTGTCCAAAACCCTAATTGGATTGGATAATGTCTCCTTAGGAGTCAACCAGAATACTAACTCACCCCTTGCATGTAATTTTAGTCTTAAAAATGAAGTTACTGATCCAACTAGAGTCCTTGCCACCTTGTGAGACAGGTGCTCCTGTAGAGTAAGCCCTGCTCTGATCAGCCCCTTTCTCACAGAGGGTTCTTCCAGCCGTTGCTTGGCTTGGATCTCTGGAATTAGTTTGTTATTGGGTATATTGTTTTTAAATTGTTTCTATAGGTTTCGAGCTGGTGGCTACTTAAAGCTGGAAAAATCAGACTGCGCCAAGTCCGATCCCACATCTTCACCCACCATCCCCTCCCTCACGTGCCATGTGGTGAGAATACCAGTTACCTCACAGTCTTGTAAATATGCACTGAGAGGAAGGAGCGAGGAGACATTAACTTAAACTGAAATGGTAGATCAGTAATTGTGGACAAATATTATCATTGACAACGGAAAAGCACCCTTGTTACAGCCCTGCTATCCCTTGCTGTGTATATATACTTTGTCCTTCATATGTGAAAGATCCAGTGTTGGAATTCTTTGGTGTAAATAAACATTTGGTTTTATTTATCGAGGTTAGATTTAAGTTCCCTGTGTAGAGGCCTCCCTGGGGTGGTCATACACTGACACAGCAGTGGTGACAGCCACATGTGCCCTGGGCAGGCCATGTCCCTGTCACACCCATGGGGAGCAGTGCAGAGAAGCCTTACACAGATGTCACAAGCCAAAGTACCTCCTGGAAGAAGGATCTTTTGCCATAACAAAAAACCCTCCTCTTCTGTCTCAGCCATGATGGTGGGGAACTGAGATGATGAACCAGTTCTTAGGTGTTTGTGTGTGTTGCCACTCACTGGATTTCTGTGACTTGTTTTCAGTCACCTAATGCTAGGGAGGYTCAGCTGGTGTGGCTGCAGGCACAATGGTGCCTGTCCCTCTCAGTGACCTCCCATSCCAAAGCCATTGCAGCAGTTGCTCCTCTGGTCATTGAGTGATCTTCATGTTCCTCAGTGGGTGCTGACACCTTGGCCAGCAGCTCCTTCTTGTCCCAGGTACCCATCCCTCGTCTGTCCTTTGGGGGGATGGGGATGGACATGTGCTTCCACATTGCTTAGTTAATTTTAGGATGGAGCGTGTGGGCTGGATTAAACTGATTTRTGGGACATGGAACACTGCCTCTTTCTGTGAGCATTGCTGGCAGGGAGATGAGGTTTTTCACATACACCAGAGTAGCTTTTGCCTTCATGCCTTCATCCAGTGGAAATCCATTGTACTTAATCTTTTATATCCTAAAGTGATGTGAAAGTTGGACTGTGTTGACTGTTACCTCAATGTGCTGTAACGTAAAAGCACCCAGTATGACAAAATACAGCTTGTTTGCACTGGTTCTGAGCCATGCAGGACATTTAACCCAGTTCTTTTATTATTCCAAGCAAGGGAGGTTTGCACCAGGGTAAGACGTGTGGAAGAGAAGATTGGGAGTGGTGGATGGTCCCAGTGCCCGTCAGCCCTTGCACAAGGAACCAYGGAACCCTGTGCATGGAAGGAGCTTTGTGGACTTGACAAGCTCTTACGCGAAGTGCTGGGTGCTTGTTCTCCCACTGCCGCTGTCTCAGCATTGATGGGGGAGTTTGGAGGGGTTTTGGCTATTTTTTAYGGGATGGCAGCAGTCCCTGTGTGCAGCACCATTGTGCGTGTGTTACCCGCCCACGACAGCGCTGAGAATAATCTGTACCGTGGACATGGCTGGGGGTTGCGGKTTTTTTGTTTTGTTTTRTTTTAAATAACCGCTGGCACGCACTCGGAGTCCACACGTGCGGGTTGGCGGGCGCCCCCCCACTGCCGTTTGCGCATGCGCGGCTGCCTCCGTCCGCGTGACCCGCCGAGAGGCGTCGCGCCTGCGCATTGCAGCGTCGTGACGTCCCGCCCGCGCGCCGGCGGGGTGGGGGCGGGGGCGGGACGGGACCGGACGGTGCGGGGAGCGCAGAGCCCCGACCCGGTCCGGTCCGGCCCGGTGTCCGGCCCGGAATGCGCCGCAGCGCCCGGGAACATGGGCCGGCAGAGCCCGCCGCGCAACGGCGTCGGCGGCCACGGTACGGGCTGGGCCGGGCCCGGCGGGCGGGGGGCGGTGGTTCCGCTGAGGGGGCGGGGGCTGGAGCGCCCCCTGCGGGCACGGCGGCGCCCCCTGGCGGCGGGGCGGGGCCGGCGCTGCGCTCTGAGCCGCCCCGGCGGGAGCGGACGGGGGAACCGGTGGGGTCCCGGTGGGGTCCCGGCGGGCTCCCGGGTCGGTCCCGGGTCCCAGCGAACGGTCCGGCTCATCCCGCGGCTGTGCGGCCGCCGCGGGCTCAAGCGGATGGAAGCAGCCGGGCGTGGTTGGTGCTGCCTGACCCGAGCCGGGCCTTAGGGCGCTCCCGGCAGTGACCGAGGGCTCTGCGGCGGGGCCGGGTCCTGCCCGACCTGGTGAGGCCGTGTATTGGTGCCCGGTGCCTGCAGAAGCACCGACGGACCCATTTGGGTTTTATAYCGCCCTCAGCTTGGGATTTGTGTCTCTTCTTCCAAGTGTGAACGTGCAAGTTAAGGTCTTGTTGCACAAAACACGATTTGAAATGCTCTGKTTTTGGTAATACTTGCAGCTATTGTACCTTGTGTGTTTGAAAAGTGTAAATATTGGGGTCTTTATCAGTAAGTCTGAGAGGAGGATCCCGCAAGATGTGCTCCTTTCTTCCCACTACTCTCTAAATTCTTCGTGTATGAACAGGAGTTTTTTCTCCYTTAGGCTTTGTCTCCTTCCCGAGGCATCGGTATGTGACAGCCCAGTGTGTGCGTGTGGCAGGGGATCAGGAACAGCTGGGGGTAGGGAACTGGTTGGGAATAGGGAACCGGCTGAGCAGAGCTGGCTTCTGTTGTGCAAATAACTCTGCTTGCACAAGGGGCGGGAAAGGAAGTAAAAGAAACTGCAGTCACTGTGTGAGCGATAGGAGATTTAATGTTACCAGGAACTTGGAATTCAGARGGAGGTGGAGCTCTGTCGTGGGCTGTTACAGCTTGTTTTGATCCAAGAAGTGTTTAAAAAGGGTCTTTGAGAAGGAACAGCATCTACTGCTCGACCTACTTATCGTCCGTGTGTGTGAGCAGCCTGCCGACCTGCCGGCTCCTTTCAGACCTCGCAGAGAGCTGCRCTTCCAGCCAGCAGCTCGGAGGCAGAGGGCGGGGGCAGTGGCTGAGGTGCCACGTGGGCAGAGGAATGAACTCCCCGATCGCTGCCGGGAGGGCACGGCCTTGGGAAACAGCTGTTTCTCCATCGAGGTCCTTTTAATTCCTCCCACCACAAATCCTCTTTGGACACGTCCCTTATAGAACAAGTCTTGTTTGGATCCCAAGAGTTGTTGCATCTATGGGAAAAGCCTTTAGGGAAAGGCAACGTTTGTAGCCTCATCCTGCACTCCAGCCCCACAGCTGCTCAGCAAAACCTCCTTACTGGCRACTCCTCCGGTGTGGGATATCGAGTGGCTCTCAGCCACTTCTCTCCTTCCTCACATGAGGCAGCGGTGACAAATTCCACCATGTGGTGTGAAATAGTGTCCCTTCTCCGCTCCCTGGGAAGCGCTCTGGTGTCCTGTAAGTGTGTCTAACCCGAGCACTGTGTCTTTGTGTGTTACCCCCTTCCCTCCCTGCYCTAAGTTCCCGTGCTGCTCAAAACAGTGGGAATTGTTTGCTACTGGCTGAGCTGTGTGTGTTCTGATGGCTGGCAGGTTTGTGTTTGTTGTAGGAGAAGTCAATGTGCTTATGATTCTTTAACTCTGGTATAATTATGTCCTTTCTTGTGTCTGTTGCTGTCAGTGGAAATGCTCAGGCTTCTTCCTAGGACGGCTGCACCTGGGAGTCGGTAGGAACACAGTTTTGGGAACACTTTCCTATCCTTTTTAGAACACTTTCCTARGTCCTGGTCTTAGGAAACACTTGATATCTGAGCTGGCAGCTGCATCAAAGAGCAAAGAGTTGCAGGATGGAGGCTTTGCAGGGCTGTCTTGGTCCCGCTTGGAGCCSTTGGGAAGGACAAGAGCTGAGGGCTCTGTCTGGGCACTGGTGGTGGCTCCTGTGTCAGGAGGAGCCGTGTTTGCCTCCCACTGTGGGACTCCCAGGGTTTATAGGGAATTAGTGAGGGTGTCCTTTGAGGTGCCCTGAATGCTGAGCTTGCAGAAATGGGGACACTCAGCTGGAGGGGTCACCACCAAWGTCATCCCTGTCCTGACAGTGTGACAACTGTCCTGTGTCATTTCCCTTGTGTGTGTGACATTTCTGTGAGTGGCTGCTGTTCACCCCTGCTGTGTGCTGGCACTGCCTGTCAGCTCACATCTCTGTGACCTTTTGCAGACTTCGATGATAAAAAGAAAAGAAAAGTGGCAGAGATTTACCAGGCTCTGAACAGTGACCCCATTGATGTGGCAACGCTGAGGCGGATGGCGATCAGTGAGGGTGGCCTCCTGACGGACGAGATCCGGTGCAAAGTGTGGCCAAAGCTGCTCAGTGTTAATACAGATGACCTGCCCCCTCTTCCAGGTATGGAACAGCCTGAACTCAGCTGCTTGGGAAGAGMGGCTCAGTGACCTTTGTCACTGGAGGAAGGATGTGCTTTCTGACCTGCCTTTTCCCTGTGTGTATTGCATTTCCCACTAAGCTCATGTGCAAAGGGGACTCACTGCAGCACCAATACAGTGTTGTATGTAAACAATACACGGCTTCTAAAAATGACATTTGTTGTTTTGTTTAGTGACAGTGATGGAATCAGTTCATTGTGATCAGCATGGCCCTGAGCATTAGCTGACATATGTGAGTTCACCTGCAGCAGAAAGAATCAGACGTGATTTGTGTTCTTCCCATGGAGAGGTGGCTGTGCTGAGCCCTGGCTTGGCCAAAATCTTTCCARGGTKTSTCTCCCAGGGAGCATTTGTGTGACMCACAYGTGTTTTTTGATCAGAACAGGTGCAAGGACATCARCCTTCCTGATGAAGTGCCCACAAGGTTTTTAAACCATAGCAGTGCAGGAGCTCCATGTCCTGTAGCTTTTATAGTCACCCAGGTCAGGTTTTGTTGTTGTTCCTATTTCTGTGGCTGTTTGGAAACATGCATCCCCTACATCAGTCAAGAGCTGGGTGACATTAGCGGTGGTGTGAGGTGGCCAGAGCTACTGGAAGACAACGTTTAACTTCACATGATCACACAGAAGAAATTTGCTGGCTCACTGAACTTTTCTGTTTTAACTGTCTTAGCTAACCCTGCATGAAGTTTTCTTCTGAATTCTTTCTATTTTGTGATTCTTTGTGGTCTCCACAGCACACTTGTGGTGCTGCTGCTGAGTACACTTTGAATTGCACAGCAAAACTGTGGAGCAGAGATGTTCRTAGGAGTGCTGGGAGTGCTGTCAGTTTAAGGATTTTAACGTGTTGTTAAAGGAATAATTGTCTCGTTTGCTGTTAGTGTCAGAGTGAGTGGCAGTGAAAGAGCAGGGATAGGGCTGAGGTGTGACATGGAAAAGGGGAGTAGGGGGTGTGTGCAGCCTCATGTCCACCTTCAGCGGGGATCTTCCTGACTCACTCACCCCRCTCTCTTCCTCGTATTGTTGCATACTTTGTGTTAATCCTGTTCCTATTTTTCTAAGCAGGGAAGGAGCTGCGAGAGGACAGTAAGGATTACCAGCAAGTGTTACTGGATGTGCGGCGATCCCTGCGCCGCTTCCCACCAGGTGAGGGAGGATTCTGCTCTTCCCACTCTRCACAAACAAGATCAATGCCGTGGGGCTCCTTCTGGCTCAGACCTCCCTGGGAGGCTGCAGAAGGTGACACTTCATTACTCCAAGGGCCTGAGCTCACAGCAGCTGCTTCTTGCAATGGAGCCCTTCYGCAGCCATCAGTTTCCTTCAGTCTCTGCACAGATGGTTTTTGATGTGGCTCTTCCAATGTTCCACTTCCCCTGCCCCACTGAGCCCCTCTGCCAGCAGGCTGCTCCCAGCAGACAGTTGCAGCAGAGAGAGGCCAGATCCTTCACGGATCTTGTGCACCATCACCTGTTGAGATTAGGACAGATGGAAAGCTTGAGAAACATGCCATTTGCTTTGGTTTATTTTAGTCCATGGTCTAGCTCAGGGGCAGGGAAGGTGGGTTGGTCTGYGCTTAGAACAATCTCTGGTATAAAACAGCCTCAAAATCAGGTTTTTGCACCAAATTTAATAGAATTTGGAACATTTAGAAGCAAAACAGTTTTGCAGTTGTTTAGTTCTGATGAGAGGCTGGTGCCTTGCTGTGTTATTTATAAAAATGCTAAATCCAGCAGCTCTCTGTGCAGAGCAGTCGTTATTTCTGGCCAGAATCTGCCTCCCCCTTCTGCCACTTTTATTTTGTGTAAACACTTGATTCACTCTGATTCTTGCAGGCGTGGATGCTTGTGTGCAGGCCTGATTCCTGAAGGCTCTGCTCCTACGGATTTTTTTGCCCTTGAATGGCAGCCTGCTGCCTATTTTTAGCTGCATTAGTGAAGCAGAGGAAAAGAACTTTGTCATTKCAGGATCTCCACTGGGACTCTCTGCTTGGCCTTTGGGCATTTTATCTGTTGACAGGGACTGCCAGAAACTGGCTGCAGCTGTGCAGGGCAGGAACAATGTTTTCCCTCTGACTTCCTTTCCCTGAACACATGTTCAGGGGACACATGTAAGCAGGGGACCGATAGAAAGTTGTGCTGCTGGAGGCCTCACAGGCTGATGCAGTTGGCACAGTTTCTGTGGAAATGGGTCCCACTGATTTTTTTCCTAGAACTCCTGGGAAATTAAAAATTACTAAAATGTCCTCATCATTGCTGGATATGCAGAACAATTCTCTCTTTACAGCAGCACTATGCAAACATCAGTAACCCTTCTCCTGTCCTCCACAGTGGCTTCCTTGCAGATAAGGGTTCTCCATTTCTAAAAATTAAACTTCTGAGCAACTGGCCAGCTTTCAGTGGGCCTGCAGAGTTTTGGGAGACAGGATTGGTTAGCTTTTTCCACCAGTTTTACTGCCCTTCTCTGTGCACCGCATCCCTTGAGATCCAGCAGAAGTGCTTTCCTGACCACAGTCACCCTCACTCCCRAAGCAGGCACTGGTAGGTGGCACAGCTGTCCCACCTCTGCCTGGTGCTGTGCCCACAGGGATGCCCGATGACCAGAGGGAAGGATTGCAGGAGGAGCTCATCGATATCATCCTCCACGTCCTCAAGCGCAACCCCCAGCTGCACTACTACCAGGGCTACCATGACATCGTGGTCACCTTCCTCCTGGTGGTGGGGGACAGGCTGGCCACGGCACTGGTGGAGAAGCTCTCAACACATCATCTCAGGTACTCAGTGGGAGGAGAGGAGCCAACTGCATGTCCTCAGGCTGTGGGGACACCTTGCAGGTGGAGCTGGCCTGGAAGGGGGGCCATGAAGGCAGAGCCTCAGGTTAAAGCAGCTGCCTGTCATGCCTGTACCCAGAGGGGTGCTATGAGAACAGCCTGACCACACAACAGCACATGGCTCTGCAAGGGGCTGTGCCCTGGGGAAGGGATAATTGAAGGCTGTCAGTTAATTTGTAGCATCTCTTGGAGTTGGAAAAGCCAATGCATATGCATTATTCATGGTTGTGTGGCTGTCAGGGCCCTTCCAGGTCCTGGGGGCTGGCTCAGCACCTTCCTCCCGCTTGTCCTTGCATAGCCCTGGGCAGTGTTGTCTGTACTGCCAGTGTCCTRTGCCCCACGTGAAAAGTGTCTTCTRTTTGTACACTGAAATAAGAGCAARCTTCCAGCTGGGGAGTGTGGTTTGGAGGGATAATCTCTCCTCTCCCAGGCAGGAATCAGATTTTGGGTGCTGGAAAAGTTTTATGGTTCTTGTGTGCACTGCAGCAAAATAAGAAGTGTCAGCTGACAGCAGCATGATAGTCTGGGCGTGGGTTCTGTGTGCCGGTCAGCCCTCTCTGTCCCAGACAAGCAKGAAGGAGGCTGTCCCAAAGAGACAGAATTCCTTGGGGCCAAGGGMCACTCTGCCTGCATGGCTGTTTTAYTGCATGTACRTYATCTTCTGTGGCCTCTCTTGCTGATGTTGTTGCTTGACAAAGCTGCTTTTAAATCTTTCCTCAGGGATTTTATGGACCCAACGATGGATAATACCAAGCACATTTTAAATTACCTGATGCCCATTATAGACCAGGTGAACCCTGAGGTGCATGACTTCATGCAGAGGTATGCAGATGTTCCCTCAGAGCCTCCTGGCTCTCCGCTGCCAGTCTCAAGTTACTGTTCACAGGGCCATTTGCACCAGCACATCCTCAGCACCACAGTGGCTTCCTTAGGGARTCAACAGCTGATGGTGACACCCCAAAGCCATGTGGCACTCACTTCTGAGCAGACTCAAATTTGTGCTGTCTGTCTAGAGGGGTTTTACGTGGTGCCATCTTCAGGCCAGTTATCTGCAGCCTGTGTTGGAAAGGCTGGGGATTTGGGGACAGTATTGTACAAAATGCTACAACTGCTTCACTTGACCGCTTTTATGTCTGGTGGGACCTTGCTGTAGTTTCTTGCTAGTTCTGGGGATAATTCCCAGGTATTGCATTAGGGACACACTAATGTGCCTGAACAGGTCAAAGCAGAAGCAGGAAGGTGAATGAGAAGAGTCAGTTCAGAGCCCTTTCTTGGGCGGGTGTGTCTTTTGTTTCACAGACAGGATATCTTTGGGTACCACCCCTGATTGCAAACTCCCAGAATTAGCAAGCTCTTAGGGTGGGAAGGAACCTAAAAACCTGGCTATGCTGCAGGACTTCAGTTCCCCTCAAGCCAGCAAACCAGATAGTGCCATAGTACATCACACATTCAGAGTCCCCTGAAAGGAGTGTTTGGCCTCTGCTGTGGCCTCCACTGGATGTGACTCAAGTAGTGGCAGCCCTTTGCCYGGGGGTTGTRTCAGAGGTGCAGTTCCTGCTCTGGGTTGGGTTCAGTGYTCCACTGCTAGCCAGCTCCATCCCYGCTCCCAGGCACAGTTGTGCAGCGCAGGGGTGGCTCGGGAGCATTTCATCCCTGTTTCCRGGCTGACCTAACAGCTCTTTCTCTCTGTAGTGCAGAGGTGGGCACCATCTTTGCCCTTAGCTGGTTGATCACCTGGTTCGGCCACGTTTTGTCTGACTTCCGGCATGTTGTGCGATTATATGACTTCTTCCTGGCTTGCCACCCACTGATGCCCATTTATTTTGCGGCTGTGGTAGGTATTGATGGGGTGGGCAGGGATTTTCTGTGCCATTCTGAGGTGTGGGAGTTAGGAGCTGCAGCAAAACCAGTGTTGGTGCTGTCCCCAACTGCACCCCGCTCTGCAAAGCCCCATAGAGTCAGTGATGTCCTTGGCGATGGCAAAGGGCAGGTGGGATCCAGGGGAACGTAGGGCAACCTGAGGGTGTCCAAATGTGCAAGCTGTACCAGTTCAGTGCCTTGGAGGCAGCATTACACTGTTTTTCTTTGCTTTCATGTGCTGGTCCTGCTTCTGAGCACATGCTGGAGTGCTTCTGGGCACATGCTGGCTGGGGMCAGCCTTGCACTGTCCACCTGCCCATCCTTCCCTGGCATAAAGCAAGTCGTTGAGTCAAACCCTGCTGAGGTTCAAACCCTGCTGAGGTTCTGCCCACATCTCTGACTTGCTAATAGCAGGCTCTGCGCAGCAGACAGACCTAAGTACCCTGAAAGAGGCTTTTCAAGGCCTCAGAGTCTCAGAAGGGGTTTGGCATTTTCCTTTCCCAGTGAATGCTTCACTGCAGTGTGTCCTCTTGAAGATCTTTCAGCTGGAAGTAAAGTGTTTTTTTTCTTCTGGTTCTGAAACAAGTGCCAGCATGTGCCAAGGWGTTGTCCCCACTTCCTTTTCTGTCTTCACTCCTCTCTGCAGATTGTGCTGCACCGGGAGCAGGAAGTTCTGGACTGCGAGTGTGACATGGCCTCTGTCCACCACCTCCTGTCCCAGATCCCACAGGACCTTCCCTACGAGTCTCTGATCAGCAAAGCCGGGGACCTTTTTGTCCAGTTCCCACCATCCGAACTCGCCAAGGAGGCAGCTCAGGCTGAACGGTGAGTGTTGGAAAGCCTGTATATTCCCTACATCCCTTGCCAGGGCTTGCTTCCTTATGGAGATCTTCCTGACAGGAGGCTGGTCCCCGGGGCGAGCTGGGGACTCTCCTTGACCCGTTCCTTCTCTTGCAGAACTGCGGCTTCCACTTTTAAGGACTTTGAGCTGGCATCAGTGCAGCAGAGACCAGACACTGTGTTGAGGCAGCGCTTCAGGGAGCGGYTCCGAGGGGAGGAGCGCCTCCAAGGGGAGGAGCGGACAAAATCCATCTTGACAAAGCCCCGGACCAACCGCTTTGTCAAGCTGGCAGTGATGGGGCTGACGGTGGCCCTGGGAGCAGCTGCCCTGGCCGTGGTGAAGAGTGCACTGGAGTGGGCACCCAAGTTTGAACTGCAGATTTTCCCCTGAAGCCGGAGGAAGGGCCTTCCCTGTTACCACATCCTTCCCCGGTGGGAAGGGCTTATGTTTGATGAAGGACATGTCCAGAAACGACCTGTCTGAAGATTATTTTTTATTCTTGTTGCGTCCAATGACGCTTTTGGCCTTTGTGACAGAGACTGAGGGAACCAGCCCAGCAGGACGGTTCCCCACACCATGCTCACCTCGTTCCCCTTTCCCTGTGCAAGGGTGAGCAGACAGGCACTGCCGCTGTTCCCTGAGGAACTAGAGGTATGGACAAGTTTGGCTGTTCAGGCTGTGTTCAGGTGACTGTACAAAGGGAGAACTGTGTGTGGGCTGTGCCCAAATTATCCTGCATTCTCCATTGGGGAAAATTAATGGGAGTGAGAGCAGATCCTTGCCTGGAGGAGTGTGTCCAACAAGGTTTGGCCTGGGTGCTTGCATGTGTGGAGGTGGAGGGCTGTTGCACTCCTGAGGAACAGGGCAGCCCTTTGGCTCCTCATTGCTCTGGTGTRCCCTGCAATCTGCCTTCAGCTTTGCTGGTGCTCCAACCCTTCCCTTCYTGTAGGCACCCTCTGAGTAGAGCCAAACCTTTCCCACACCCCTGCCAGCACAATGCTGTCAGCCTCTCTTCAGTGTGTAACATTCCCTGGCTCTTTTTGCTTCCTCATCTTTGCAGCCTGATCTGTTTGCAGGGGGTGGGAGCAGACCTTAGCTCCCCTCAGCTCTCAGGCACTGCCACTGCTGTGCTGGCAGTACCGTGACCATAGCTGGAGTCAATGAAGTGAGACACAAGCATGGTCACCCTGCCAAAGGTGCGTGCTGTCATGTGCCAGGCCAKGCTACTACAAGTCTTAGTGGCACTGTAAACACCCATTGCAGATTTCTTTAATAACTCTGGAAGTGGACACTAACATGCCCACATGGAGAAAGCGATTTTCCACCTTGTCAATCAGTTTGCACTGGACAGAAGTTGTTGCAGTAGGAAATGTGTCAAAAACCTCCCCCACGAGCTGATCAGGCTTCAGCATCGCCTTTGAAATAACACAAAGGGTTTCCTAAAAAGACCACCCCAATCCCTGCATAGTTCCCATCTCTCCACCAGTCCCATTGGCAGCTCCCAGCACTCCTTGCCCTGCAACCTAAGCAGCAAATCCTTCTAATCAACTCGGTGTCCCACTGAGACAAAGCCAATAGACACTCTGCCTCTACCTCTCCCCCAAGCTGCTGAATCTCCCGCAAGTGCCCTTACCTGTCCCTCACAGCTCCCTCCCACTCCCCCATCAATTGCTCTGTTGTGCCCAAAGCCATCTGTGCCATGCCCAGGGGCTGCACACCTGAAAAGGAGGTGTTGGTTAAAGGTATTTTGGGATAGAGAAGAAAATTCATGCCCTGTGAAGCTCAGCACCCCCCACTCCCACCCCTCTTGGTCTATAACCGCCCTAGGTATGTTCCAGTTTGCTCCATGGGCCCTTGCTCATGGAGGGGCTGTGCCTTTCTGGCCGGAGGGCAAGTGGGCAGTTGTCATTCCTGACTTGTGTTCCCATAAAGCTCTGAGCAGGAGTTTCCCAGATGAAATCTGAAGTGTGTGAAACTGCCCTTGTCCACAGCAAGACCTGTTCCCTCCTCTCCTCGCTGGTGCTGGTGCCCCTGGAGAGACCTAGGGCTGCTCAGGGGGCTCCTCCCGGYGTGGCTGAAGGCAGATCCCATTCCTGGCCCCTTGGCACCTGCTGGAGTAGCAGAGCAGGACTGAAGGCTGGGTCACTTAGCACTTTAGAAACCATTGCTGCAGGAGAGTGTGGTGTCCTGGGGGTGCTGCTGGAGGCCCCAGAACTGCTCTGTATACTACCCTGAAGGAAGGAAGGAAGAAAGGAATGGCTGGAACCCCCCAGGAGGAGCCCCTGCAGCCCTCCCCCCCACTCCCTGGCCATGATGCACTTTAGTTTTTGTGTTGTCCCTAGGGGAGGAAGGGCCTGAGAAGAGACGGTCGCTGCGGGTGCTTCAGTTTCTCTGTACAAAGACTTACACATCCCCTGTAAATGCAGATTTCTACAAACACTAAAACTGTAAAATAAACAGTTACTAAACACACTTCCTGCCCTTCCCCAGGCTAGGGCTGCCAGGTCCACTCTTGTGGCACGTTGTGGCCCAGAACTGGCRCCTTCCCCGTGGCAGCCAGGCCAGCTCAGCACGGCCTCACACCCAGCAGCCCCGTGGGAAGAGGAGCAGGAGTGGAGCCAAAGGGCGCGTGCCTGCCCTGGTCAGTGTTCTCCATCCATTTGCCTCCCTCTGGGCCAACGCCAGRCCTTGCGTGTGCCACTGGCTCTCGGGGGTGTCCCCCCCATCAGAGGCGTGGGGCTGGAAATAGCCTGAGCTCCCGGCCTGCTCCGCACCCCGGGCCGGGTGCCTGGCTGCAGGMGGAGATGCCGGGCAGGATGCCCAGTTCCCAGGGCATGCTCCACTGAGCTGGGGCGATGCAGCCGCCTTTGCCAGGCTGGAAGCAGGTTTGGCTGGATGGCTCGAGGCTGGCAGCCGTGTTGGCTGTTTTTAATTCCCTCTGGCTTCTTCAGAAGCCATTTTCTCAATGGCCCTTTAGGAGGGACACCCTTTGGGCAGCAGGAGGGAAGGAGAAGTGGTGGCAAGAGGTATGTGGCACCTTTGGAATAGCAAGAGGCCATTGCCACATGTGACTCAGAAGCAGGCCAGTGGCARGGTGTGCATGTGCCTGTGCAAGCTATCTTGGACGTTGGACACCAGGCCTTGTGGCCCTGACCTTAGGTAAGGTGATGGGTGATGGTAGGGTGACCTTTGGTAAGGAGGGCAGTGGTGATGGCCAGTGAGCTGTGACCGTGGCTGCCCCATGGCCCCCCTGTGGCAGTGTCCCTGCATAGCGACATGGCCAGGAATCCCATGGCCAGGAGCTGTGGTGACACCACGCTGGAATACTGCTGCCCCTGCGGCACCACCCAGGGTCCCTGCGGTGCTGGAGGCTCTCCCGTGGGTGTGGCCTGCAGACTTGGGGGGTCACCGTGGCTTGGGCAGCCCCTGCACTTGTCCCTCCCCCGGGGACAGCCCAGTCCCCAGCAGTGCGGGGCAGCAGGAGGGGCTGGCGGTACCCGGGGATGCTCTGGGCTCCTCTTGTTGCCGTGGCAACAGCTGCGGCAAGATGGGGGCGGGGGTCTGGGTGTGATGCAAGTGGCGCGTGACCTCGTGGCCCCCCCGGGCCCTCCTGTGGGTCTGGATTAACACCCCCAGTCCCCACCCTCTCCACTGTCCCCCCCCCCTTACTACACTCGGTCCCCTCCCCCTGGCTGAACAGAGTGGGAGGCGGTGTTGGGATTGCTCACACACACGGGTGGGGCGAGGGGCTGCATGTGGACAGATACATACGTGCACACGCGTGCACATGCTCACACTGCTCACGCTCCAGGGACACCCAGCCCACCTTCCCAGTGTGGGAGAGCCCGGGCTCGGGGTGAGAGCTGACATGCCTGGGAGCTGAATTGTGGCCATTGGGAATCTCCCTGGGGACCTCCCATAGCTCTGGGAACCCCAGATTCCCCTGGGAGGAGTGAGGCAGCACAGAAGGAGCCGKAGCCATGAGGAGCAGACCAACACACTTTATTCCATAATCACAACAGTCAGGATAATTGTTAGCCGAGGTTCCGCGGAGCAAGGGCCAGCCGCGTTGCACTCCCGGGGCGGGCCTAGATGGGGTCATCACTGCCCCTCGGCTAAAATCCTGTTTCTCCAAGATAACAGACACAGGGACCTTTCACTAACACGACACTACAAAGGTGACCCCGAGCAATGGCACCCGTTCGCAGGCTGCGCCGGGGCCCTGCCAGCTCCGGGGACCCCTGGCCCGCTCGGCCGCCGCCAGGGCAGCTGCTTCCTGAGAGAGGTTTGGTTTATTTTTATTATTTATTATTACTATTATTATTATTATTCGCTTTGTCTGGAGTGATGACGGGATGTCGCACGCGCACGCACACACGCTCGCACACGCATGCCAGCCAGCACCGGGCAGCGGGGGCGCAGCGGGAGGGGGCCGCACGYTGGGGGGGTCTCTAAGCACTACAACCACACGGCACAGAAAATCCACCAYTGTCCACGACGGTTCTCCCTGACAAACACACCCGGCGAGACTCGAGGAGGGGGACAGGGGTGGGGACGGGGACAAAGCGGATGATGTTGTGCTTGCGGCCGGGGCAGGGGACCCCGGCGCTGGCTCCGGTTCTGGCACTGACCAAGAACCTGCTCCTGAGGAAATATTTCGCCTGACAGTSTGTGGAGGGATCACCCTGGCTCGAGGGCGATACACAGCACATAGGGGACCACCGAGACCTGTGTCCCCTCTGGGAAYGGGAGCTGAGCCCTGAGCTGCAGGGTCAGCAAAGCACACATGTGATGTGAGACTCTCACTGTGGCCTCAGGCCTTGCTGGTACCTGGGGGCTTTGGCTTCCCCATGGACAGGGGTGGAGGGCAGGTGACCATCAGCCTCGGCGCCCTCCCTGAGAACCTCTGGCCACAGCACGGGGTGGCTGCGCACCCCAAGAAGGCACCGAGGTGCTGGGTGAGATCTGGGTGTGTCAGAGAGCTCTGGGGCCGCCAGACCCCACGGGAACCCCAAACCCGGCTCACAGATGAGAGGGGGCTTCCGATGCTCCTGGGGCGGGGGTGCCCAGGGGGCGGAAAGGCAGAAGCCCCCCAAGGCGGCGATGAGGTGGGAGCAGGCTGCCAGAATCACGGCTGTCCCGGCGCTTATTTGGCTTTTCCACCTTTGGGGGCGGGACTGGATCCGGTGGGGAACGGCCGGGGAGGGAGGGGACGCAGAGGACGCGCTCTATCCAGGGAACACGTGTCTGATGCGTGATGCCCGCCTGGCTCCGCAGGCTGGCACCCGCACGGGGGTACCGAAACACCGTGGCTAATGCCAACATACACGCACAGCTACCGCTACACACCGACACATCTACACTGCTGATGGTTGACCATCGTGGGGGGCCTCGAGAGGCCCCCAGAGACTGGGCTAGGGGACATCAACATCCCTGCAAAGGACCCGGGGACACACCTCTCCCTGCGCTGC